CTAATATAGCTGAACAGTCACAACTTAAAAAAACATAAACTAATGGGCCTAAAGCCCAACAACTTCCTAACTAAATAAAAACAACTCGGACCAACTCAACAAAGTACTTTTACGAAAGCACTTTTACAAAAGTACATTTATAAAATTCAACTAGGCATAATTTTATAAGTGGTATTTTAAAATTCAACTAGGGATAATTTTGGAAGAAAATATTTGAATAAGTATTTATTGTATAAGCACTTAAAAAAGCTGGAAATTTAGCCCCTGTTTGAGAACACTTATAAGAAGTACTTTTAAGAGTTGGGACCACACATTAAGTGGTTTTATGTGTGTGGTAAAAAAGTGGGAAATAAGTAGTTCTTAAAAAAGTGACCTGAAGTTGGCTTTTTTTTAGCACTTCTTGAAGAAGCACTTCTCCAAAAAAATAGAACGAACCAGTCCCTAATATTTTCTTGTAATACCTAAAATACCCCTGCACAAGGGTTATACCTCCATCTCCTCTCATTCGAACATATCTTCTAGGTAGCGGCGCACCCACTTACAGGTCCACTAGCGACGATCGGCAGTGAGGAAAAGTGGCCAGCGGACCTTTTGTTTGGCCACTTTCTTCTATTTTCTGAAGTTATTCTTCTCATTTACCCATTGTGCTCGTTTGGTCCTCTATTGCCTATCATGCACCAGCACTGGGACTTGTTAAGGGCTGCCGGTGTAACCTTTTGTTCAGTATCGGAGGCAATCAGGGAGTACCCAGATTTTTTCAGGAAGTATTTAGGCAGAGTTGTCCCTCCTAATGATAACTACTACGCTGCGCTAAACTCTGCCGTTTTCAGTGGAGGTGGAGATGGCGGCGCTGTGAACTCAGATAGCAGCGGCGGCAGTGGAGGTGGTAATCCGCCATTAGCCCATTTTCCGATGATGCAACCGGTTCTGAATTGCGTGCTGGCTCAAGCAACAACTCTTTCACATGGTCTGCTTGAACCACTTCATTGTCCCTCTTCTGCTATACAAACGCACAGACCATGTATTAATTCCCTCTCTCTCTCTCTGGTCTTATTTATGGTGATTGAGGAGAAGTATATATAAGCTTACCTCAACCTTGAAAACATTTAAAACCAGGCCTCTGAAAGTGGTTACATTGGCGTTTGTTACTTCAAGTCTTAGAGAATTCATGGCCTCCATCAACCTCACAAACCCACCAGTCCTGTGCTCGCAGAACACTTTGAGGAAGAACTCATTTCCATCTACTTGAGTCACTTCCACTTGAACCTATTGGCGTGTCAGTCATCTCATAACAACAGAAAACAAAGTTTGAGCAGAATACATTCACTACCTCCATTTGCTGGGTCGTCTTATCATCTGTGATAACTGAATCAGGATTCTGTGTGGAGGCTCCAGTTGTCTTGCTAACTGGTGATGAATGGCCTGTTCCATGATCGATCTTTCCCAACATCGACATTCCCATTACTAATTTGTCGTTCTCTGGGTTAGTCAGGTTGTTGTAAACTGATCCATTTTGATCAGTTGCTGCAGTGTTCGAGCTGTTATTTCTGTTGTCGTTACCATGATATCCAATTCCAGTAGCTCCCTTGGCTCTTTCATCATCTGATGGCTCCTCAAGCTCTTCCCATATTACTTGGAAAGTTGGAAGTACCAGTGCGTTGTTTTGGAGGGTGACAATACAGATACAGTGGGGGAGTTCTACTCTGTGGCACTGACAATTAATTATCAGCAAGCAGATACAGAACACGAGAAGCAGAATTGTCTCAAAGGTCATTTCAGCAAGTAATTCACAAATTGTTATAGAGGGCGTTCAGGCCAGTGCTGTCAAAGGCAGAGAATGCCTGAAATTATTATTAATTGGGTCCACATGGAGATTCACGTGTGGGTTCATGTGGGCTCTTAGTTGTCATGATGTGGGGTCCACGTGGGCTCTCAGTTGTCATGATGTGGGGTCCATCTAGGCTCTCAGTTGAAATGTACAGTATAACATGTGAAAAGCCTTGTATATATGTATGAGTGAAGTGAGGGCTAAAATTGTCATTTGTGTCAATATAAGCACTTATGGGGAAAGTAGTTTACCAAACATCCCCACCCTAATAAGTGCTTAAAAACATAATAAGTGATTTGGCAAGGGGGTTACAAAACATCCTTAAGTGGTTGTTAAAATAAGTACTTCTGTAACAAGTACTTCTTTTAACAACCACTAAATCATCAAACAGGGCCCAAATGAGCCCTTATTTCAGGCTTATTTCCCAAATATCAATAAGTGCATAATTGCCCAAATAAGCACTTGTTTCGAATCAGAACTCCCAAACATAGCCTTGGTAGTAGAGAGACTTCTTGAGAAGGCATAAATTAAAAATGAAATCTTGTCTTTGTTCCATTTTCATGATCATGACAAGGCAAGGAACTTTCTTAAAGGATGATTCCAAACGAGATCTAAGATAACCATGGAACAGAAACCCAAAGCAGTAAAGGATTTAAGAATTACCAGTGAACAGATGACAAAAGCACTTGACTTCAAAAAACAATGTTGCTGAACTCATTATGCTAGCGTTGTAGGATAGAAAAAGTATTTGATGTATCAAAAATGGAGAAGGTACTAGTGGGTCTATCGGGTGTTCAAAACATTTGATGTCAGAAACCTTAAAAGAAAACCTGATAAGCAAATAGCTTAAAGGACACTGCAGAAAACTATCAATGTTCTTTGTTTGTTGTTGCAGGAATTGGAGGATTGTCAGCTAATCCTAGAAAAGTTTTTTATCAGACTATCCAGTGTTATCAAAGTGTTGACTAATCATTGCCTAGTCTATCAACTAGTTAGTTTGGGGCCAGCTGGTCAGACTAACTGCATCACTAACTAGTGAGTCCGTACTTGTGATGTGTTCACCTAGGAAAACTAAGCATCAACTACGTTGACTAAAAGACCACATAGTTATTTTAAAGCTTTATTTGTTTGTTTGTATTTATAGTTATCTGAAATAATATAGAATATGTTTGTATTTTGTTATATTCATGCTGCTGTCTTAAATGTTTGTGATGAGAGTCATGAGACATGATTGGATTATGGTCTATAGAATGAAAAAAAAAACATAAAATTAGAGAAACAGTGGATGAGTTCTTTTAAGTTTTCTTCTAATTAGTAGCATGCTGTTATAGACTTGCCACAAACTCTTTCTTTGGAAAAACAAAGGCTATAATTCCCTATCTTAACCTGTCCAACCTAACTTTTTTATGTTTGGAAAACAAATACTGTAAACTAAAATATCATTGTTTTATTGCATAGTTGTTTAACTTATTTATGAGATTGCATCAATATCATAAATTTATAATTTATCTTTTTCAGCAATTAGTTGGCACCTAGGCATCAACTAGAGAAGCCAAAACAACCATTATTTTCTCACCTCATTGGTACCACTGAAACTATTGTCAAGTTGTTTGCAGATTCAGAAGATGTTGTACAGTATGATGTCCTTGTCTCCTTGAGTTGCTTGATCTGACATATTTTCTAGCTTTCACAAACTAACATTATGTTTGGTTTTTGACATTTTGCTGATTGTTTTTGAATATTTCTTAACAATCTTCCATGAACAATTAGGCTCTGTAACAAATTCTTCAATTTTGTTCATTACTTTGGTTGCCGGAGTTCATATTAGTAGACTAGATGCATTCCTGTAGCTTTTGTTTTTTTATTGCTGTTAAGAAGCGTGTGGACGGGGGTGCTGTTAGAGGTTGTCCCATTTTTATGTTACTGTCCCATACTTATTAGGGGCAGAACAATCTTTTGCATGGTTTCTTAACCTATAAATAAATATGGCTGCCAGAGGGGGAGACATTGTTTTAAAAGTGCAAGGCGCAAGGCGAGGCATGTGCCTTTTTGAAGCAAGGCGCAAAAATAAAAAATGCTAAAAAAATAAAAAATATTAGAACAGAACATTCAAAAAATGCCAAAAAATTCAAGAAATGCAAAAAATAAAAAAAGAATATTAAACATAATTTTAATTAGAAATATGAACTTAAATTTTAAAATAAATGCTTTAAAAAACCTATTATCTAAAATTAGAATACATGAACATAACATGTAAGCGTATTCAAATGAAAATTTAAAAATAAAATCAAGCATATAAAGCATTTTCAAGCATGTAAAACTTACAATCTCTTTTTTTCCTCAATTGCATTACTTCAAGTAGCTAATGTGATGTAAAACATATTGCATTCTTGTTTTACATCACATTAGCTACTTGAAGTAATGCAATTGAGGAAAATAGCTACTTGAAGCAAAACATATTGCATTCCTATTCATAAAAAAAACATATTGCATTCCTATTCATAAAAAAAACATATTGCATTCTTGATTCTACGAGCTGCTTTGTACCACGTTCCTCGAGGTAAGCCCAAATAAGTCCATGTTAGGGTCTTAAATTCTTAATTCTCACATAAAAAATAATGATTTTATAACTTTAATTGCCTTTGAAGAAGACATTTAATTAAAATGAATGAATGAGCAACATTAGCAAATAGGGGGTTCTCAGAACTTCGGTGAGTGAGCGAAGCAAGCGGCAAAAAGCGTGAAATTTTAAAAAGGCGCATACCTGGGCTGAGGCGCAAGGCGCATCAGGCGTGCACCTTTTGAAAGGGCTGCGCCTAGGACCTAGGTGAGGCGCATACCCTAAAATGCGCTTTGCCTGTGTGCCTAGGCGTACTTTTTAAATCACTGGGGGGAGATAGATTTCTTTTCTTTTCTCTCTATCTTTTCTTTTCTTTCTTTCTTACAAGCGGAAATTCCATTTATAGTTGCAAATTTCATGAATAGACCCATATGTTGACTTTAGAAGATAATGTTGATTTAATGTTTCCAGATGACTTATTTGATTAATATATTTTGGTTTAGTACATTTCCTTAGTATTATAGATTTTATGTTTTCTCAAAAACATGCTATTATTATTATTTTTAATTTATTTGTGCTTCTCAATGGTTTTCTTTGATTTCATGTCTGCAGCCTTGAGTTTTGATTGGCAAGTGCAATCAAAATATGGAATCCTCCACTTTGCTGTTTAACCAGCTTAAGGTTTAATTCTACCACTATTTTTAACCTGTCCTACAGCCTATTGATTTCTTGCACTTATTTTCCTGTGCAGCCTGTGCAGCTTCTTCATGGTGATTTATTAATTATCTTTCTACTCTCAGCTGCATTTGTTTGTTGATGATATTGAATGTTAGAATGATTTATGCTGCCTTTTTGAAAGATGAGTTTGAAAATCTGTTACAATACATTATTTTACATTCTAGAAGAAACTATTGCAAAAGTTGTATTTTTTTGAAAAAATGAAACTTCTCTGATAATACCATTTTCTAATTGGGGAAATAGGTGAAGAAAACTATCGTAGATTTTGATGCTGAAGGCTGTAAAACAATTTTTGTAATGTTTTGCCACCCCTAATGTAGAAGAACATCGATACAACATGTCAACCACAGGATATTGCATTTTTTTTTGATTTCTTACTCAAATTGTATATCCAAATGAATTATAATAATCACCTTCATCTAGCTTTGTGCCAACTGTATGAAGTCGGCTACATGAATCCTTGTTGGCCATTTAATCTTTTTTAGTTCCTCTTTGTAGCCCCACGTTGCTTTCTCATTGTCTCTTAACCAACCAACCGCCACTTCAGAGTCACATTTAATTATTAGTTTTCCAAGTCCATGTCTCTTGCCTTTGCACTCCTTGGAGTATAGGATGGAGTTCAGACTTTGTAGAATCCCCATTGCCGATGGGGTTGAGAACATGGTCATAATAACACCATAAAAACTCCATCCACTCTAGAGGGACCTTGGTTTCCAAGACTTCTCCCATCAAAGTTTGTAGCCATCCTTAGGTGTTGCCCATAGCCTTTGTACTACCATCTTCTTTTCGTTGAAGAAATTGCAGCCGCTTCCCCTCACTTTCTCCAAAGATCATCATATGAGAATGGTTTGACAATTTCCAAAGATTTGATCCGATGTATCACCCTAGCCATGATATATCCAATTACAGCTGCCTTGCTTCATTCCTTCTCTTTGAAGATTCTTGAATTTCTTTCTTCCCATACTATCCATAAAACTGCTGTCGTTGTGTATCTCCACATAATTCTCCTTCTCTTTGGTCATGTGAAAGTTTTCAAACAGAACAACCCAACCACTTCACAGGCAGAGTCTACCTGCACCAAACTAAAGACAAGAACCATTCCAAAATACAAGTAACAATTGGATGTGAGATTAGTAAGTGATAACAAGTCTCCCATTGGCTTTGCACAGAATGCACCAACTTGGGGATTTAGATTTTTTAGGTGGCAATTACTTTAGCAAACAACCATGTTAGCATTATTTTTACTCAATGCATGGGCATTTTGATTTTTAGGTGAAATGTCTTGAGAAATGTGCACTTCATGCTAGATGGCATTGAGTCTAGTTTGGTTAAATTATAGGGGTATCTATACCCCTTGCACAACTTAGGGAGCTTTGACCGTTTTTTTTATCAGTAAAAGTGTTTTATTTAAAATAGGTTTAAAATAAAGTTTTACAACATGTAGAAGGGAATAATGTTCCCAAATTAGTACATATTTCTGTCCCACTTTATAGCACAGCCCAAAACAGTTGTTGCCTCAGTGCCCCTTGTTTGGCAAGATAATCAGCTAACCCATTTGCATTCCTTCTGATCCATTTGAATCCAGCCTTTACCTCCTTTGCAATCTTTTCCACTTCCCTAATCACATGTTTGAAGGTCCACGGAGTGATTCTATTGTTTGTAGGCCAAGAGATGATCACTCTTGAGTCCCCCTCTACCTCAATATGCCTAAGTCCTAGCTGCTTTGCTAGCTTCAGCCCTTGTAGCAGTGCCAATAATTCAGCTTTTAGTGAGTTTCCAATGCCAATCGGTCCTGAGAACAAAGCCAATATCCTCCTTTCAGACTTCCTGATTGCTCTTCCTATACCTGATAGTCCTGGATTTCTAAGGGAGCTCCCATCAAAATTCAGCTTAATCCTGTTGCCTTCTGGAGGTTTCCACTCCATCCTTACTTTCTCTTTCACTCTTGAAGACTGTGCTATTTTTGTCTAGGTTATTAGAATGTGATTGAGAAATCTTGGAAGCAATGCAAGGATTTTACCCAATGAGCTACTTTAACCTTTATAGTGTCTATTACTTCCTCCACTATTCTACTTTTCTCCAAGAAAATTCTGTTATTCCTTTTTTCCCATACCACCCAACAAATTGCTGCCTTCATAGCTCTCCACATTACATCTCTCTTTTCTTTGGTTGTCTCAAGAAATCACAGTTGAAAAGTCCTGCGACATTTTGAGTGGAAACCCTCCTGCAACTAAAGAAAATACAAAAGAACTCCCAAATGTGATGCACAAAGGAACAAGATATTAATAAATGTGAAAGGGTCTCACCACTTTCTTTACAAAGGGAGCACATGTGAGGAGAAAGGCAAGCAAAAGGCCTTCTTCTTTGCAGCATATCACAAGTATTTACCTTGCTAAGGAAAATTTCCCAACAGAAAACTTGAATTTTGTTTTTTTGGGGGGGGATAGGCTTACTCCAAATTTCTTCCACAGGGAGTTTCTCAACTGAGATGCTAGGCGAGGCAAGAATACTGAAGAAAGAATAGCAAGTAAAGAGGCCATCTGAAGAGCCTACCCAAATTCTGGAATCTTTCAAGGATCCGTCCAAGTGAACTTGTCCTAGTAGATCCAGCAAATGAACTAAGGACTCACATTCATTTTCCCCAAGGCCCCTCCTGAAACCCAGATTCCAATTAACCCCTTTTGGACCAGGTGTTCCCAAATTACACAGAGTTTCCCTCATAAAGGAGCTTTGACTGTTCAAAAGAAGCATTTTAACATGCCTCTCTGATTCATCTTGATTAGAAGAGATACAAAATTTTAATATATTTTCTTGAGAAACTTTTTTCTTTGTAACTTTGTTGAACCTACAATTCTTCCTATATAACAAACAGGCTGCAGAACCTTTTTTTCTTATGTATAATTAAATTCAGATCGATGTATGATTTTGTTTTGTAATGACTGCAAACAGGCTGCAGAACCTTTTTTCTTATTAGCGGGTCCTAATGTGATTGAATCAGAGGAGCACATTTTACGGATGGCCAAACACATAAAGAGTATCGCCTCGAAGTAAGTTACCAGCCTTGCTAATAGTTCATTTGTTTTTGCTAAATTGTATAAGAAACATGTTCCTCTCTAAATGCATGTCAGAATTCTGATATGTAAATTCATATCAACTTTTTAGACTTGGTTTACAGCTGGTATTCAAGTCAAGCTTTGATAAGGCTAACCGTACATCCTCCAAATCATTCCGTGGTCCTGGAATGGCTGAAGGTCTAAAGGTAGAATCTTTCATGTATTTGTAATTTGCACTTGGTGCAACATTTAGACACTCATTGTCCTTGTTTGAAGACACAATTCATTATGGACATTAAAAAATTCAAATTAAGACGTACTTTTATGGCATTTGATACGTGGTGTATCAGAACAAGGAAACAACATAAGTAACTATTTTGGCAAATTTATCAAGAAAAGTGCAACAATATGTTTGTAGCATTGAATAAGAGTTATTGTTGACATATACAAAATGATGGATTTATATAGACTTAAAACAACTATTCTTATTAGTCCTTTTCAAATGCAGATACTTGAAAAGGTCAAAATAGCATATGACATCCCTGTAGTGACAGATGTTCATGAGGCTAGCCAGGTAATTTTTTGTTTTCCTCTTTCAGAACTAAACCCTTCTATGTGGAAATGCTTCTTTTTAACAAACGTCAGCACTCATGTTCATTATCTTTCTGTCAGTTTTGATTTATACAATCTGGCTGTTGGATATCAAGTTTCATTACAAAGTTAAAGCTAAGCGCAAACTATAGATGAGGAAAGTTGGATGACTAATTTATTATGATTGTTTTCAAAACATTTCATTTTTTCCCAGTGTGAACCTGTTGGCAGGGTTGCAGATATTATTCAGATTCCAGCTTTTCTGTGCCGTCAGGTTGGTATTAAAATATTTAACTTATTTACATAAAACATTCAACATATTTAACATTTTATAGATCAATTTCATTTTGGTCGTTCTCAGTGCCAATTCAGCATCCATAATAATAAAAGAAAAACTTATATTTAGAATGGGTGTGGGTGTGAATTTTTCTTTTTTCCCCTCTGCTAATATCATAATATTTCTTGTTATGACAGACAGATCTTCTGGTTGCAGCTGCAAAGACTGGGAAAATTATCAATATTAAGAAGGGCCAATTTTGTGCTCCTTCTGTGAGTTTCTTAATCATCTATGCTTTTTTTTTTGAACTTTAATATGTTTATTTTCCAGCCAAACAGGACCTGTTTTACAAATTGCAGGGTTTCTGTTCCATAATTCTTTTCATCCCCTGATTGTAGCCTTGACTGTCATTTGGAAGCATGCTATCCAACTAGAATATCTTGATACCTGCACAAAGAGTGGCCTTGTGTTGTGGGGATCAAACTCAACAATAATGACGTAGAAACTTGTGCAAATCTTGGGTTGTGAAATTATGTCATGGCCAATTAAATACTTGGGACTCCCCATTGGGTGGGAACTCAAAAGAGCCATATTTTTAGGAGGGGGTATCAAAACATTTTCAAGGAAGCTGGAGGCTTGAAAGAAGAATTACATATCAATTGGAGGAAGAGTGAAAGAGAAAAGAAAAAGAACATATCTCTCTTTTTGGAAAGTGACTTTGGAGGTTTCCTAGAGAAGGCAAGGACACTGTGGCACTTGGTGATTAGAAGCATTCATGGCTGAATGCAGGTAAGATTCTGGGGTTGCCAGAAGCTCTACTCTTATGTCCATGGAAGAATGGAAGATAATTATGTCTAACTTTCCAGTGACCACTCTTTCCACAATACATTGGAGTTAACCCGTTGATGGGTTAAACGGTAAAATTTTGAAATAATAGAAACTCCTCTTGGAACTTGAGTTTTAGAAGGATTTTGAGAGGTATGGAATCCCTGGAGGTCATCAATGTATTGACTCTGAAGCGACCAGCTAGCAGTTTAGTAGGATAGTGATGCACAGTGCTCAGTATAATTTTCTTTAGGAACTGCTATTATGCAAATTTAATGCTAATGCTTTGATAGATTTCACCATTCTATTATAGATTGGAGATAACCAGATCTGTTAATTATAAACTTTCATGTTTTTTTCTCTTTCATCTTAAAAATTGGATTAATTAACAATCATGATATCTGGCAGGTCATGGTAAATTCTGCAGAGAAAGTTAGATTAGCAGGGAATCAAAATGTAATGGTCTGTGAGCGGGGAACCATGTTTGGCTATAGTAAGTCCACAGAAGTTGCTTACTTTCTTCAATAACTTATTAATGTTTATTTGTTTTTCTTGAGTTTGTAAAATTACCATTTCCAGATTCCTTTTGATTTGGACACTGAGGACCCATTTTTTATTGTAGCCAGATGAAACTGTGCAAGCAAAAGTAGAACTAAACTGTCACTGGGTCTAGAATTTGCTTAATTGTGCAAGAAATATTTTTTTGGATTGTGCAAGAAATATGTCTTGATTGTGCAAAAAAACGATTTTGAGTTCTTGCTGAAGGAGCAAATTAAGAGCTGCCAATTGAATGCATGCTGAATGCAGTTGGGCCAAATAGCATATGGCTACTACATTCTGTGCTAAACAACCAAAGTGTCCTTATGAAGGTTTAGCCAATGTCACCTCTAAGAATTTTAGGAGCAAAGTGATCTACAAGTTCTTTACTTATTTTCCATTGTCATATCCTGGGAATAAAGTTATCTCTTGCATTGTTGGCAGAAGCTTTTTTTTTTCTTGGTATAGTTAAACAACTAAATTGGGATTTAATTTGTAGATGACTTGATTGTTGACCCACGCAACTTGGAGTGGATGAGGGAAGCTAATTGTCCTATTGTAAGTAAATAATTTCTCATTTTTTTTTTTCTGTTCTCGTGCTGCATCTCATGTTTGTGTTTAAACCAAGTATTTTCTTGATGGCTAACAAGTGTAAAATCCTATTCTCAGATATCGTTTTTTGATTGGTAGCAAATAATTTTTATTGGGTGAGTGGTGTTGGAAGTGGAATGTTAATGGGTGGTTCTCAGTGAGATCTTTGGCTTTAAAACTGAACAGTTCAGGTCTATCAGATTTGCCTTGCAAACAAGTTTGGAATCCTACTCCTCCATCAAAAGTGAACTTTCTGGTTTGGGCTATGTCTCTGGATAAATGCCTCACTAGAACAAATCTGGAGAGAAGGGATCTGCATCTCTTGGATCTGTCTTGTGGCCTTTGTGGTCTGGTTCCTGAAATGATTGACCACCTAGGATTACACTGTTCTATCACTTCTAAGGTGTGGGGTCATGTTCTCAATGCAGTTGGGTTATGCCGAGCTCAGTCAAAGACTTAATGTGCTGCTGGAATGTCCAAGGTCTGAAGAAAAAAGGAAAGATTGTCTGGAGGTCTGTGCCTACAGCTGTATATCTGGACTGAAAGGAACAGTAGAATCTTCTGTAACAAAGTGAAGAGCTCAGAAGAATTAATCCTTTCTGCTGTTAGCAGACTGATATCTTGGGTATCTGTTAAATCTGAATTCAAAAACCAGAATGTGTCTGAGTTGTTAAGATCCCATTCCCTTTGGAGCTTGTATTCTGTTCTGTTTTCCTGGCTGATCTCATTGAGGCTAGAGAGCTGTTGTACTATATGCTTGTTGGTTTCTAATAAAATTTATCTTACATTTCTAAACAAAAAAATTATTGGTCATGAGAAAAAGAATCAGTTACTTGCAAAATATGTCAAGCAGACAAGCATCTGTGTGCTTTAGGATGCCATCTGCCACCTAACCCTTTCTTTCACCATTGACTTTCCCTGCTCAATTAACTGACTCCAAAATAACCTATTCAATTCACCCCTTGTTTAGCCATAGTATAAGCCAAACAGTTTGCTGATGTATGGACCAAAGAAAAGGCGATTCCTAGTTCCTGTTCCATGACTTTTATCACCCTCATGATGAATTATTGCAATGATCCTGGATTGTTGCCCTTTAGTCAAGTAGCCAGCCCATAATTACTTTAAAATTCCCTTACATCATTGCGCTCCTCAAATTAATCAGTCTCCTATCTACAAACCTTGTAACACTGCTAGTAGCTCCAGCCTTGTGGAATCCACAGCCTATGGGTCTCAAGCATATGGAGAAAATGAACACTGTTAAGTATCCCTTCCATACCTGAAAATTAAGGATTACCTAATCTACATGAATTTAGATTTAACTTTACTTGATATCCAACTAGAGTAATTAAACTGTAGGTACTGTTGTAGATAAAGATGCCACCAATTAACATCCTCGAAGAATGTCATCCATGTAGAAAGGGGTCGAAAAGATGTAGAGTTTTGATCCAATGCACCTCTTTCACTAAGAGTGCTTGTTTGAACTGTTCCTTTGAATGTTCATTCATTACTCTCCTCCCATATAGTCCAAAGAACCACTGTTGTGGCACTTCTCCACATGATCTTCCCTTTCTTTCTTGGTAGTTGGAGGCTTTGATGAAACACTTCACATTAGTTGGACGGTTCCAGTGTTTGAATGCACCTAAACCGAGAAAAGAACCATTCCCAAATACTAGCAACAAATTGGTAGGGGATTAGTAGATGGTAAGCAGATTCTCCATTCACATTAAAAGATGGTAAACATGCGGGAATAAGCACCAATAGGGTCTTCTCTTTTGAAGGGTTTGACAAGTGTTATTTTTTTTTTGGTATACCTCTCAACAGAAAGCCCTCAGTTTGAGTGGCATTGGTCCACTTTATATGTGTAGGAGAGCTTTGAAAAAAGGAAGCACATGTGAAAACCCCTGAAGAATTAGTGGTCTATATTCTACAATCAAGTTTGTCAAGCTCTAAGAGCACACCCTCTAGAAATCTTAACAAGTTTGATGCTACTGGGCTTTAGAATCTCTTACACCTTTTATAAAACTCAAATCCCAAGTTGATTTATCAAAAAAAAAACTCAAATCCCAAGGTTTAACACAAGCAAAATGGGAGACAAGTTTGGCTTTGTAAGAAGAAATGGAGAACAAGAAAACAATCTTTTACAGGACCTTTTCCCCCACCAAGATCAAAGGTCTTCTCATAATTATATCTTATTCCTAAAAATACATCATACTAAATAAAACTCAAGAAAGGATATCAAACCTAAGTAAGATGGCTTTCCATGGTAAATGCCAACATTAATCTTGTAGTCAAACTAGCATCCTATTCATTACGTGCACCCCATGGATGCTAGCAACCATATTATGACATTTGCCCAATAGAGCCGAATTTCTTAATGCCAATTTGCCTAATCCCAATCTTCCATGCTATTTTCTTTTGCATACTGCTTCCCAGTTTATCAAATGGTCTCTCTTGGAATCCTTTGGTTCCTGTAGAAAATCTTTTCATTGTTTTCTCCAACTTTTTTTGCAATTGAGGCTGAAATCTTAAAATTGGAGAGGTAGGTTGTCGAAGGTTGAGTTTATTAGCATGACTCTTCATCTCTATATTTATATTTTTAGCCAATTAGAAGTTTTTAGAAAATCTATCCAAGACAAGATTCTAGAAGGTATTGGATATTGGGTTGCATGAGAGATAGTCCCAGATATCTCATTGGCCAATGAATCATTGAATATCCTAAGATAAATGTATACCTCCCCACCTCCTCCCTACCTCCTTGTCCATATTCATACTTTCCATGCAGTTCTTGTCTAGGTTGAGTCCTCAACCTAGCAAGTTTTCCAAAGAATTTTATTAAGGGTTGCAAATTCCTTGCCCCTGTGGTTGTTTTAATACTTGTTGTTATTTCATTAAGCAGTTTTTTTTCCCAAATACGAGCTAGATTGCTCTTGTGGTTGTTTTCTTTGCATATTGTCTTGTGCATTCTCTGGTCCATTCTATAACAAGTACATGGTGCATTCCTATTTCAATCAAAATGTCTTGTTCATCATTATGTGAAAATTGGAAACATCATGTAGGGATGATTAAAAGAAAAATAATTTAGTTTAGAGAAACATATTGCATGTTTGAAAATGTAGAGAACACTGATGTGGGCCCCATAGCTGTGGTCCCCACTGTGTTCGTAGGACAATATGTGCAATTATTTGTTTCAGTCATGTTAGTGTTAGTTGGTGGTCAGCTTGTTATTTCAGTTTTTTATTTGCTTTGTCATGTAAGTATTAAGGGCAGATTTGTCCTTTCCTCTATCTACTGAACATAACCTATAAATACTAAGAGAGTGGCGGCGGCAGATCAATTTCAGAATCTGTCCCTCCTTTCAAGCCTTTGTGTTCTCCTGTTCTTCTCCTCTCTTTTCTTCTTTTCTTTACTTTTCTTCTACCTTTTCTAATATGAAATCTATTAGGATTCAAGGCTGATTGTAGTCTTGATCGCCTACTTGGTATCAAAGCCTATCTAGGGTTTCTCATGTGTGTCTAGTCCAGCCGACCACATGAGAACTATCTAGGGCTAGAAGTTTATAAAGAAGTGTTCATTGGCTGATTCTTGGAGGTTACCAGAAGAGTTTAGCAGCTGTTCGAAGACTTGGCACGGCTTGCAGAGTGTTGGTAATCAGGAAGAATCAGAGAAGGCTAGGGTTTAGGCAACGTTGGAAGGTAGCGAACAGAATTCTTTGGGTAAGTCTTATTTATTTTCTAGAGATTGCAATCAGTCAAGATAGGTTGGACCTATCTAGAAGGAGCGGCCGAACTGTTTTTGGAGTTTTCTCTCAGAGGTGATCAGTTTTTTAGGGTTTCACATTGACCCTATGGCAAGACCTAACTGTTAACCCCTTGGAAAGTGTGGCTGAGCACTTATTTTAGACCTACGATTAAAACCCTAATTCTGTTCCAGCATCTCAGATTGCTCTCTAAGCTGGTTTCAGACCTGTCTCTTGGTTTCAAGCTCTTTTAGGGGGTGAAAACTTGTACAGACTGCTTGGTACTGTGATTGCCGATTGGTTTCAGATCGGACCTGCACTAGTTTCATGCATATACCGTGATTACAGATTGGTTTCAGATTAGACCTGCATTGATTCCATACTGATTTTTGATTGTGATAGTCGCTCAAGTGCTGTTTTCTGTTGTAGTAACCCTAATAGTTCGTAACTACTGATTCTTGACCAAGAATGGAGTTTAAAAATCAGGGAGAAGGTAGTTTTGGGAACAACAGTTATGGTAGTATATCTGAAACTAGGTTTCAGATTACAACTGTGAGATTTGAAGGGTCAAACTACTTGGAATGGGCCCAATCAGCCATGATGGCTATTGGGGGCAGGGGAAAACTAGGTTACCTCTTGGGAGATGTGAAAGAACCTTCCAAGGAGGATCCATTGTATACCAAGTGGGTTCCAGAGAACTGCTTGATTATGACATGGCTGTGTAACTCTATGCAGCCACATATCAGCCGAAATTACTTGTGGGCAAAGACAACCAAGGAGATATGGGATGTTATGAAAGAAACCTATCCCAACCCCTTAACGTTGCCAGAGCCCATGGACTGAAGTGTGAAGTGAATAGTCTTAAACAAGGAGAGAAATCGGTTTCTGTCTACTTCTCTACCTTGAAACCCTTATGGCATGAAATTGATCATCTAGAGACTCTTGAGTGGGAAAGTCCCAAAGATGCACAGACTTATATAAAGCAAGTCGAGACGAATAGGGTATTTGAATTTTTGGCTGGCCTGAATTCAGATTATGACATTGTGAGGCAATAGATACTGACCAGAGATAGTGTGACCCTCTCTCAAGCATACTCCCTGGTGCATAGTGAAGAGACCAGGAGGAAAGTTATGATGCAACCTCAGCTCTTTTCCCCAGCCCTGGTAGCTGTTAAACCTAAGTCAGGGGGTGATACAGAAAGGGACAGGAAGAAGGAAGACAAACGGGATCTGGTATGTGAACATTGCAAGAAATCCAAGCATACAAAAGATACTTGTTGGAAGCTGCACCCTCATTTAGTCCCAGCAAAACTAAGAAATAAGAAGGGTAATGCTCATGTGGCTGTGAATACTGATTCAGCATCCTCGTCAGGCACAAAAGGCACACCCCTAGAGACCTTATCCGCGGTTCGGGCTGCCCTAATACAGTTGGAAAAGGAAGTTGGGAGTTCAGCTCAGCCATCTCAGTCACCATCAGCCCCTGCCACATCTGCATTTTCACATTCAGGTACTCGAGCCTCAACCTACCATGTTTCAGCTCCAGGTAATACTGAACACTGTTGGGTAATAGATTCAGGTGCATCCGACCATATGACTAGCTTGCCATCCTTGTTCACTACATATCATTTATCCTCTGGTAGAGATAAAGTATCCATTGCTGATGGCTCTCTTGTTCCCATTTCTGGCAAGGGTGACATCAAGTTATCTGATACCATCTCTTTATCTTCTGTTTTGCATGTTCCTAAGCTAGATACTAACCTGCTCTCAGTCAGTAGTATTACCAAACATATGAACTGTCCAGTAACCTTTTTCCCTGATCGATGTGTTTTTCAGGACTTGGAGACAAGGTGATTGGGACTGGCCGTGAGACGAATGGGATTTATCTGCTTGGAGAGAGTTCTCGTTGGGAAGAGCCAGTGGATAAGAAGTCCTTTGTTTCTTAGTTTGTGAGTTCGGTTATGCTTTGGCATAATCGATTAGGTCATTTATCTTTTCGGTCTTTGAAGAGTCTTTTTCTTGCTTTATTTGAGTCTGTTGAGATGTCGAAGTTGTGATGTGAGAGTTGTGAGTTTGCCAAACATTGTAGAACATCTTATTCTTTGAGTAATAAAAGGAGTAATAATTCTTTTTATATTGTGCATACTGATGTTTGGGGGCCATATCACATCCATTCTATGGGTGGGTACAGATATTTTCTGTTGTTTGTTGATGACTATACCCGATTTTCTTGGGTCTATCTAATGCGTTCTCGAGATGAGGTTCCCGCTCTGACCCAAAACTTTCATCAAATGATTCTAACCCAGTTTGGGGCCAAAATCAAAGTTCTTAGATCCAATAATGCAAAGGAATACTTTGCAAAGCCATTAACTTCTTACCTCCTTAATCATGGGGTTATTCACCAGAGCACTTGTCCTCATACACCACAACAGAATGGGGTTGCCGAAAGGAAGAATAGGCACATCTTGGAGGTGGCTAGAAGCATTATGTTTACCTCCAATGTACCTATTCGCTTCTGGCGTGATGCTATCCTCACGACAGTATATCTCATTAATCGGGTTCCTTCCCGAGTCCTTGATATGAAACCCCTTTTTACACTTCTATACCCAAACGAGGAGTTGTTTACTGTTCCTCTTAAAACCTTTGGTTGTACTTGTTTCGTTCAGCTTCTCGGGTCCCATCATTCCAAGTTTGACCCTAAGGCCTCCAAATGCATTTTCCTCGGTTATGCACAAACTCAAAAGGGTTATTGCTGCTATGATCCTGTTTCAGGGAGGAAGTTTGTCTCCATGGATGTCACCTTCTTTGAGGAGACACCCTATTATCTTAGGGTTTCTCCCCAGGGGGAAAGCAGTGAGAGTGGGGATTTGGGTCTTTTTCCTCAGGGGGAGCGTAGTGAGAGTGGGGTTAACACATCTGAGGCTGTTCCTTTACCTATTCCATTGGGTGATGAAGGCTGTAATGGTGAGGGCTGTAATGGTGAGGGTGGTCAGAGGGATCAGGAGTTGAAAGTCTATCACAGGCGATGCAGGCAGGTTGATCCCGGTCATCGGCAGTTCAGGCCAGCTCCAGTTCCTTCTACGGCTCTAGATCCAGGTATTACAGTCCCAGGGCCCACTGAGACACCTTCCATTGTTGCCACTTCCCCTTCTACGGATGACCTTGACCTTCCTATTGCCGTCCGTAAAGGGAAACGACATTGCACCGCATCTATAGTTCACTGCATTTCCCAGTTTTTATCCTATGATCACCTATTTCCCTCTTACAGGTCCTATCTCACTTCCATTGCCAATGTCCCTATTCCCAGAACAGTGCAAGAAGCCTTATCAGTTTTAGAGTGGAAAGATGCAATGCAAGTTGAAATGGATGCCCTGTTGAAAAATAACACTTKGGAGCTARTTKACCTACCCAAAGGAAAGAAGCCAGTTGGATGTAGATGGGTATTTACTGTGAAGCATAATGCTGATGGCTCCATTGAAAGGTACAAAGCCCGACTGCTTGCAAAGTGGTTCACCCAGACTTATGGTATAGACTATTTGGAGACCTTTGCCCCGGTAGCTAGGATGACCACCATCCGAGTTCTATTATCCCTTGCAGCAAGTTATTCTTGGCCCTTGTTCTAGATGGATGTTAAAAATGCTTTTCTGAATGGAGACTTACAGGAAGAGGTCTACATACAGTCTGGACTCTATGATACGGAGACAGGTAAGAAGGTTTGCCGACTAAATAAGGCATTGTATGGATTAAAGCAATCACCTAGAGCTTGGTTTGATAGATTCAGACTAGCCCTTGGAAAATCCGGTTATGTACAGACCCAATCAGATCATACACTGTTCATTAAAAGGGTGGACTCTTCTTTGACCCTGCTTGCTGTATATGTGGATGATATTGTAGTGACAGGAAATAATAGTAGTGAGATTGAGTCCCTCAAACAGTTCCTTCATCAAGAGTTTGAGGTGAAAGATCTTGGTGCACTACGATACTTTTTGGGTATTGAGGTTGCTAGATCTAAACAAGGGATGTTTCTCTCTGAGAAAATATGTTCTAAATCTGTTGGCGGAAATTGGAAAGTTAGGTGTCAAGCCTGCTGATACACCCATTGAACAGAATCACAAGATCAGTGCAGAGGGCGGGGAGCCTCTTGAAGACAAAGTTATGTTCCAACGGTTGGTTGGWAAGCTCCTATATCTCTGCCTCACTCGGCCAGATATCAGTTATGCAGTTAATGTTGTCAGCTAGTACATGCATACCCCTAGAACTACTCATCTTCTTGCAGCAGAGAGAATATTAGCATACTTGAAGAGATGCCCGGATAGGGGTATACTGCTCAAGACCAATAATCACATGAACGTGGAGATCTATACAGATGCTGATTGGGCTGGGAGTGCTGATGACAGGAGGTCTACCTCTGGAAGAGTAAGAAACAAAGTGTTGTTTCCCGCTCTAGTGCCGAAGCTGAATATAGGTCAATGGCTAATGGAGTGGTTGAAATCCTATGGCTGAGATCACTACTTGAAGAGTTGGGTATTGATTATGAGAAGCCCTTGATGTTGTATTGTGATAATCAGGCGGCTATTAATATAACTCACAATCCGGTGCAGCATGACAGAACTAAGCATATCGAAGTTGATCGACATTTTGTCCGAGAGAGGGTCTCATCACAGGAAGTGTGTCTCCCATATATCACATCCAACATCCAGCTCGCAGATATCCTAACCAAGGCTGTACCAAGGAAGAAGTTAGAGGTAGACCTATCCAAGTTGGGAATGATAAATATCTATTCCCAACTTGAGGGTGAGTGTAGAGAACACTGATGTGGGCCCCACAGCTGTGGTCCCCACTGTGTTCGTAGGTATGTGCAATTATTTGTTTCAGTCATGTTAGTGTTAGTTGGTGGTCAGCTTGTTATTTTAGTTTTTTATTTGCTTTATTTGTCATGTAAGTATTTAGGGCAGATCTGTCCTTTCCTTTATGTACTGAACATAACCTATAAATACTAAGAGAGTGGCGGCGGCAGATCAATTTCAGAATCTGTCCCTCCTTTCAAACCTTTGTGTTCTCCTGTTATTCTCCTCTCTTTTCTTCTTTTCTTTACTTTTCTTCTACCTTTTCTAATCTGAAATCTATTAGGATTCAAGGCTGATTGTAGTCTTGATCGCCTACTGAAAACGAACTTATTATCACATGTTTGTCAATGTAAAATGTTTGAAACTTTGAACTAGTAAGGGTCATGTGGCCAATCCAATCTATCCATCTGATACGGGATGCTTTTGTGTTTGCCAGATCTACAATATCAACATTTCAGTCGCCTTTAAACACTACCTTATGGCATGTATTCCTCTTGAAGAATGTTTTAGTTTTAATTGTTTTGTCAGAAAAGATGTAATGAACTTCTTGCCTTTCCACATGACAGAGATACTGGACTAAAAATGCTACTACATAGAGGTGAGATGGAAATACATAATCCTCTCATGCCCCATGTTTCACTGCCAAAACTCCTTTGCTACACAGTAGAAAAAGTGCCAGAATGCCAATGTGCCACCTTTGTAATAGTGTGTTTCATCCACAACCAACCTTATTAGTTCCTGAAGTGTCTCCTTCCGTTACTTGCACAAGGTGAAATGTCCGCACTGAAGAATTTTATCAGGTGGATGTCCTTGCTTCAGAGACAGATTTTTTAATGTATCCCTTTAACTTGTTTTCTTCATATTCAGCTTTTCTCAGCCTTGTTCTCATTCTATATATCCTATTCTCACCCTTAAAAGAGATTTTTCCACTTGAGCATGAGAAGGGGGCTGCATTGTGCCCTTTGCTTAGATTATTAGTAAATTCTGAAGCTTTTAAAGCACATAAAAATTGTTAGCTTCTCATTATTATTGGTAAACATGAAGCTTCCCAAGATGGGATCTAGCACTTCAATTCTCTTTGTCTATGTAGAATGATTATTTAATGCATGTATGATCTGCGCTTTCAAGTCATTATGCTACCTCTTTGATGTCTAAACTTCTATTGATGCATATGTACTTTTTTTCTCCTGATAAATATCATTCAAAACTTAAGGTCCTTATTGTACCATCTGTTGCTATTATGTCTAGTTTGTTGCATAATGCTCTTCTATTGATCTAACTTTTTCTGATCAGCTGCTTCTCTGTTGGAAATTGTTTCATTGCAGGTAGCAGATGTTACACATTCATTACAGCAACCTGCTGGGAGGAAGGTTTGGACCAATTTAGGTTACAGTTGACAAAGAAATGCATGCATATATCTAGGTCCAATGTAAAGCAAAGCAATTTCATTTCAATTGATATATCTATTGGCTTCTTCGTGATGATCAGCTTAAATATAAGAAATAAAGCTCTAATTTACTTGGACGAATCAAAAGCCCATAAAAATTTCTTTCTATTCCATGCATAAACTAGGTAATGTATAAAGATGAGCTGTATTTTGTTGATACAGAAGGATTACTGAATTTATTCAGTTGACCAAAAAAATTACTCCCTCCATGGTTGCAAATAATTCACAACAGGATTCCAACACAACATTTAACTATCTAATGCTGGAAATATTAACACAGGTATCCTTTTTGGTTCCCTAGTAAAGAAATTTAAATGGGGCTTTCTTACAATAGTGTTTTCTTCTGGCTATATTTGTTCTTTCTTTTTCTGAGAAAAACTTTCTTGGTATGAATCACAATTTTTCTTGTCAATTAGGAGTCTTGTGTATTTATCTTTTTTTGCACATATTAGGAGGTTCCAGTCCCTGCCTTTGTTTCTTTCATCTCATAATCACAAATTGTGCATTTCTTTGTTATTAAGTTCCTCTGTGGTACTGATTTCTCCTTGGGATATTATTGCTAGCTGCATTGTAGGAAAGCTTGTCTCTCTGTGTTTAATTCAGATTTTATGATTGCTTAATATTTTTACAATTCTTAGTGAAAGAGCTGAAGTATGTTCTTTCTCAATTAGCTGGATGGTGGAGGTGTTGCTAGTGGGGGTCTTCGTGAACTAATACCATGTATTGCAAGGACATCAGTTGCTGTTGGAGTGGATGGAATCTTTATGGAGGTATAGGATCAAAATCTGTTAGAAATGATATCTTAAATATTTCTTTGCTTCCTTTGGAAAGTTAAGTTTTTTCCTGCTTAAATGGACTCAATACATAAAGTACTGGAGACAACAGAATAAAAATGAACATGAAATGGTGCTTAATGCATAACCAAGGTTTAAAATATTGGTACAATACGTCTGATACAGGGTTATACATGGCATATCATATCAGTTTCCAAGGGGGCCAACACGTGGCATGGCTGGGATGGCTCAGTTTTGATGCCATTCGTCCTGTCTCGGTCTATATCACCAACGTTGTGTTTGTATCAGTCTATATCAGCCAACAAACACCATATTCTTTGAATTTCAGATTTTAGTTTGTTAAGAGTGTGAGGGCATTTCTGCCCTTTTATGAATATTTGTATTTGGGCGCCAATTCAAGGGCACCTTTGTAATTTTGCTTGTGAAGAAAAAAATGAAGTCTCTTGGTGTGAACAGTGTCGCACCAAGCATTCTTGACAACTTGGTATTAGAGCCAAACACAATCAAGAAAATTCTCTGCTGCTGGCCGTGACTCACAGGCAGACCTGCTGACATCAGCATGCCGCTGGTTGACGTCAGAAGTCTGTATGGCTGGCGACATCTTCATGGGTTTTTGATGGTCGGTGGTTCCTCCTGATTTTAGGGGAATTTTGGTATAAGTTTCATGGTGGTTTGAAGTTGTTTTGGATTTTTCAGATGAAAATTGGTGAAAAGTCCAGATTTGGAGTTTAGGGCTTGCATGCTCATATGGTGGATTGGTTGCTACTGAAACCTCTTGTGTTTAAGTCGTGGTAAACCCCTGGGACTGTAGGAAGTAGTCCTGAATTTTTTGGAGCCCTAAAACTTTTTTTTTTAGAATTTTTTTCTTCCCATGTTTTTCCTCCAGTACCTATTTTTCCTAACTTTTTAGCTGTAACTCGTGTCTAACCTTGTGGAAAAGGTGTTTGGGAGTTCAACTGTTGTTGCAAGACTAGTGCTGGTGAGAAATTTTTTTTGGAGGGGCTGTGATCGATGGACTCACACAAAGACGTCTGTGTACCTACCTATGTTCTCTCAGGAAGCAATGACAATGCTGGAGGACAGATTACTACTATAAAACTTGATGGGACAAATTTCCTTGAATGGTCTCAATCAGCCAAGCTTACAATCGATGGAAGAGGTAAGCTCGGACTTATTACCAGTAAGGAAGCTAAGCCGAAGCCTGGAGATCCAAACTATTCCAAATGGGAGCAGGATAATGAGCTGGTTATGTCATTGGCTTGTATGCTCTATGCAGCCACACATCGCTCGCAACTATATGTTCCTTCCAACAACTAAAGATATTTGGGATAGACTAACTGCAACTTATTCTCAAGCGAAAAACACTGCTAGAATCTTTTAGTTGCGAAGAGAAGTATGTAATATACAACAGGGGGAGAAATCAGTGATCATGCATTTCTCCTCCTTACAATCAATTTGGGAAGAAATTGATCATCTTGAGGCTTTGGAGTGGAAAGATCCTGTTGATGCTGAACAATATAGGAAGTACATTGAAAAAATCCAAGTTTTCGATTTTCTTGCTGGGCTGAATGCTGATTATGACTTCACTAGGCAACACATCCTTAGTGCTGATATTTTGTCACTCTCCACAACATATTCTCTTGTATAGATTGAAGAGAGTAGGAGGAATGCTATTATGCAAGTGTTTGTAGGTGAGCACATTGCTCTTGTGTCCACAAAACCTAAGAAGAGTTTTGGTAAACTTGAAGAAGTATTTTGTGAATACTATAAGAAGCCGAAGCATACCAAGGATAGATGCTGGCTAAATCCCCACCTGAAACTTGAGAAGTTTAAAACCGGAAAGAAAGTAAATGCTCATGTTGCTACCACAAGTCATGATTCTCAGACGCAAATGCTTGAGGGAAATTCTCCTGCTCCAGCATTTACTCATGACACCTCTGAAGTGATGGAAAAATTGAGAGGCATCTTATTCCATCTTGAAAAGAGTGGGTTGCCTACATCTACTGGTTCAAATGCTTCTTCTAGTGCCTTTGCAAAATCAGGAACTGCACTTGCGTGTCATGCTCCACCCTCTAGCTCTTGGATAATTGACACAGGAGCCAATGATCATACAACTGGCATGCCTTCTTATTTTACCACTTAGGCTTTTTTCAGGGAAAGGTAAGATTACCGTTGCCGATGGATCCCAGACCCCAATGTCGGGTTTGGGTGAAGTTAAACTTACCAATGCCTTTCTCTGAACTCTATACTCCATGTTCCACAATTGCATAGAAATCTCTTATCTGTTAGTTCTCTTACAAATTCTCATAATTGCTCTGTCACCTTCTTTCCATCTCATTGTGTCTTTTAGGACATGAATACGATGAAGACGATTAGCAATGGACATGAAGCCAATGGAGTTTATCTTCTTGATCAGTCTCCAATGTTAGGGTTGATGTGTCAGTCTATGTCTTGCCATGATGAGAAACTAAGTCAATTGAAATTGTGGCATCATCCTCTTGGGCATGTGTCTTTTGGTTCCTTGAAATTTTTGTTTCATAGTTTGTTTGAGTCCTTGTCTAGTTCTGGTTTGCAATGTGAAGTCTGTCAACTATCAAAGCAATGTAGAACAACTTTTTTGCAAGTAATAAAAGAAGTAATGTTGCTTTTCATTTAATACATACCAATGTTTGGGAATCTTATTCTATTCCATGTATGGGTGGCTATAAATATTTCATTCTCTTTGTTGATGACTACTCGCGGTATACTTGGTTGTATTTGATGAAGTGCCGAGATGAAGTTCCTTCCATTGTGCTTAACTAGCCCGAAGAGGTTGCAACTCGTGCCTCTACTCGGGGACTTTGTACTATTGTCTATTGCTCATTAATAAACTTATTTCAATTATCAAAAAAAAAGTTCCTTCCATTGTGAAAGGCTTCTTCAGTATGGTGGAGACACAGTTTGAGAAGAAGATTATTTATTAGATTTGACAACACCAAGGAGTACTTTGAGAAGCACTTGCAAACCTTCCTTGAAGAAAAAGGAGTGATTCACCAAAGTTCTTGCCCTCATACTCCCCAACAAAATGGGGTATCGAAGAGGAAAAATGGACATGATCGAAGTTGCCAGAGACTTGTTATTTCAGATGCATGTTCCAACTTGGTTTTGGGGGGATGCTGCTCAAACAATTATATGTCTTATTAACAAACTTCCCTCACGGACCTTGCATCTTCAGTCTCCTCATCAGCTTCTTTTTCCTGATGAGGATACATTCCATCTTCCTCCCGAGGATTTTGGGAGTGTCTGTGTCGTCCATGACATGAGTCCTTCTAGGCTGAAATTTGACCCAAAGTCTATCAAGTATCTCTTCTTGGGATATTCTTCAGTCCAAAAGGGGTATCGTTGTTATGACCATTGTTTTGGAAAAAAGGTATGTGCCCAAAGATGTCACATTCTTTGAGTTTACTCCCTTCTTCTCCGTCTCTTGTCCTTTTCTTCAGGGGGAGAATGGTAGTGAAGATCAAACTCCTATTTGTATGCCGATTCCTGCAACTGATGCTATCAATCCTTCTTCTCCTCCTCCTCCTCCCTGTGGTCGTAGTAGTCCTCCTCCTTTGCCTCCTATTCCTCGGTCTTGGCCTTGGTGGTTCGTCAGACGAAGAAAGAGGATGACTCCAGAGATTGAATGTCCATTACAATTTGACCTCTCAGACTCAGGTAATTTGGATTTTGAACCTCTTCCTGTTTCTAATGCTTGTGTTGAATATGTTGTTGAGCCTCCTCTTGTAGATTCTAACCTCAACCTTCCCATTGCAATTCGTAAAGCAAGACGGACATGTGCTAAGTATCCTATCTCAAACAGTCTCTTATGCTACTTTATTACCCTCCTATTGTGCCTATATTTCTTCTATTGCTTTTGTTTTTATCCCTCACAACTGAGGTAGTGCAGTTCCCTCAATGGAAGGATGCTATGAACCAGGAAATGGAGGCACTAAAAAAAACTAGACATGGAAAATTGTTTCTCTTCCAGAAGGCAAAATTCCTATTGGTTGCAAGTGGGTTTACATAGTAAAGCTAAAATCTAATGGCTCAATTGAAAGGTACAAAGCTCGACTTGTGGCAAAAGGGTACACCCAGTCTTATGGCATTGATTACCAGGAAACGTTTGCTCCAGTAGCCAAGATGAATTCAATACGAGTTATCATGTGTCTTGCTGCCCACTATTCTTGGCCCTTTTATCAAATGGATGTTAAGAGCGCCTTCCTTAATGGAGACCTTCAGGAAGAAGTTTACATGGAACTTCCTTCAGGAGTGAACATCCCTGGGAGTGAAGGAAAGGTTTTCCGTTTGAAGAAATCCTTTTATGGCTTTAAATAGTCTCCTCGAGTTTGGTTTGATAGATTCAGAAAAACTGTCTTAAAAATTGGCTTCTCACAATCACAAGTTGACCATACCCTGTTTATTAGGAGAGCAAATGGTAAAATAACTTTGTTGATAGTATATGCCAATGATATTATTATCATAGGGGATGAATTCTTTGGGATTGATGAGCTGAAGTCTTTCCTTGCAATTGAGTTTGAAATTAATGATCTCGGAAATCTCTGGTATTTCTTAGGGATTGAGGTAGCAAGGTCAAAGAGGGGCATTTATATTTCTCGAAGGAACTATGTCCTTGATATGCTTCAGGAGGTAGGAAAATTGGATTGTAAACCGGCTGAAACTCCAATTTATCCCAATCATAAGCTGAGAGTTGATGATGGATATGTTCTTCCTAACAAAGGTGTGTATCAGAGACTTGTTGGTCACCTTCTCTACTTGTGTCTGACTAGACCAGATATATCATATGTTGTAAGTGTGATCAACCAATACATGCACAAGTCTATATCATCTCATATGCAAGCAGTGAATAGAATACTTGCCTATTTGATGGGATGTCTATGAAAGGGGATGTTGTATTCTAATCATGGGCATTTGAAGGTAGAGGTCTATTTTGATGC